ATATATGTCAACATAACATGTCCTTTACTTTCCATAGTCTACGGATCATCCTAAATTATTTTTAGAATAGTTGCTGCCACTTTATCTATAGTTAGACCTTAAAAAAATGACCGAGTGAGCGAATGAGCAGTAGAGTTCAAACTACGTGACAATTCCAAGTGAAATTTGTTTACCTATGAAATTAAGATTATTTGTGCTTGAGTATGTTGCTAGTTAAGAAATAAATTACCCGCAATCGAAGGTCATCGCGCCGCTCCATGTCTTGTATGAAATCGGTGAGGTCTAGTGCTTTCTTGTAATCGTACTCCGTCAATGATTTGCTTTCAGACTCAATATACATCTGTAACAAATAAAGACGTATCATCATCAACAGCCCGACTTCACCCATGGGTATAGACTTCTCATTGTTTGTGCTGTGACGGGACGAACATGTCGTGCGCCTGATGGCAAGCTACACGCCTGTCCATAACAGTTACAGTGCCAATCAGAGCTATGAACCGCAAAGATCTGAGGGGCACTGTCACTGCGCCCGTCACACGAGACATAAGTTGACAAGTCCTATCGCGAATCATGCGATAATCAATCATTTGGTGAGTAAACGAACTTTACCCATTTTTTGTAGTGTGATAACACTGCTTTGCCTTTGCTAACTTGTTATTTTTGACACTACCGAGTGCACTTCAGTTTGGCTAAAATTAAAGATGTGGCTGTGTAAGTGAATGTACCCTAAGAGACAAACAACTGGTAAGTTCCTCTACGTACTGTTTAACATTACGACAGGCATAGACACGGTGGAAAGACACAATTAAGTTAATTGTCTAGTTTAATATTGTTACGAAACATGTTCCTATGACTATTAATTTGCCACGTGCTGACTCGACGCGCAGTAGACTAGTCTCATTAACGCTTATGACTGTGGGTGCCTATCGTTGGCAGCAATCGGGTCGGTAGTAGCTGGCATGTACGCTTGCATCGCGATTAATAACTATCGAAATTTGGAACCTGTTGGGCAGAGGTTGGACTAAAGGGGAGGTTCACTCGGGGCAACTCTCAAGGTGTCCCGCCCCAGTACATAGGCGAGATGTGCTGGGGGTTTGTACGCGATGTACGAGGCACACTTTTACGATTCCTCGTCATAGCACAATGTAGTGTTATGAACGTTTTAATCATGGTTCAGTGTCTTTCTACCCGCTTATATGTATACCTGTAAATTAAGTATCTTTTGTCGTCCCTCAATATCTACATTGAGAATATTTGAACCAGGTACATCGGTATTACAGTCTAGTCTAAATCCAATAAACTACAAAGTAGCGACAAGTCCCATGTGCCTGTAATTTCACCAGCACCGTTACCCTTCAAAATCGGAACACAGTTATGCTGACATTGCTGCTTAGCGGCGGAAATAAGTAAAGTGGTAGTATTTCCCTGGACGAAATCTTTCACAAGGAGCTCTAGTACTGCTATCTATCCATCTAATACGATTTTGACGATGTCGTCTACTAATCTCGCTGCAGGGCGACATTTTTCTAATAACCACTTCTTGGCTACCATTCTGTAGTCGCTTTATTCCACAAGCCATCACCACGCCTCGCAGTAATACCTACATAGTATAATTTCAAACAATTAAAATTTATATTACATTAAAAAAGATTTATGATTATGTACCAGGAAGCCATATTGAGTACCTGTTCTCAAACTAGGGAATTCCCTGTAATTTGAGTACAGATCGAGCCAAACTTCTAGTCCGATTTTTTCTCGCGCAGGTGTGCAGTCAGGCATAAAATATTTAAGTCTTAATTATTTAGACAACAACAACAAAATTAATTGATTGAACAAGAAATTAAAGAAATTAAACCTAATTAATTTATTATTATACAATCACTTTCAAACAAGTTTTAAACTTGAATTACCTGCACCAACTCTTCAGGATTTATAACCCTGGTATCTTCACTATCCATTCCGTGATGGATTCTCAAATCTCTAGGCAGCGCTGAATGCTGTTCTCCCAGTGATAATCGAGATTCGATCTTACGCCATACATCTGAAGATTGAGAATCTGTATCTTCGGAAGCAAGGAGGCACAGCTTAGCCAGTGAAGCCATCGTCTGGAATGAAAGATTTATTGAGGCTATCAGCGCAAAAATGGTGTAATCCACATTTCATTTTTGTTCTTCAAATCCATCTGTAAGTTAAGTATAAGATATTTAATTGGAAGGGTTTAGTGGCAATACCTCTCGTTAACGGTGAGGAAAATATCGAAATGAAAACTTTTTTTTATACTGTCAAGTGACAGGACGAACAAGTCGTACGCCTGATGGTAGCTACTACACGCCTGTCCATAACAGTTGCAGTGCCACTCAGCTCTTTAAATCGCAAGAATCTGAGGCGTACTGCGTCTGTCACCCTGAGACATAAGTTGACCAGTCCCATGTGCCTGTAATTTAACCAGCACCCTTACCCTTCAAAATCGGAACATAGTAATGCTGACAGAAATAGATAAGGTGGCAGTACTTCCCTGGACGAGCTCTTTTACAAGCAGCTCTACTTACTGCTACTGAACTACCTGACCTACTGCCTGCATGTCATAGAAGGTTTGCAGTCCTTTGGAAAACGTGTAAAGTTCTCAAACCGCATTGGATCAACGTTGTGGAATATGGCATAAACTGTCTCCTAACAGGAGACCCGCGATGATTGATGATGAGATCCTTGTCTGTTATTATTTTTGAAATATTATATTTTAGAAAAAAAAACTAAAATTCATATAACATTTAAAAAGATGTAACCTGTCACGCGTCCTAATGATATCCGGTTTTTCTAGCGATTTTGCTGAAACGTTTTTCAAACATTTTTAGAGTATTTTATTACATTTTTTTAATGGTAGGTGAAAACACAGCTCCGTGTTAGAGATACCATCTAGGACGCTTCAGTACCAAATTTATTAGGGACACCGCGTGTCTCCACAATGCGTGACGGGACAAATCGCTCTTGTAGATCTCACTAATTTCCGTTGTATTTTTAATGTATTCATACACTGTAACTATACGTTATAGAGAGAAATAAAGCATATTTGTAAGTTATAAAATGGGATTAATATACCGTAAATGTGCGAGGGAATTTGAGTTTTATTCTCTGTACGTAGAATTGAACTCTACGGCTTTGAACTATACTATTAAGATTGACGATGTAGAGCTGTACTAACAGTCATCCGATTAACGGATTCGGTTTCCTCGCAAGCCAGGTTAGCCAGGGTGCTGGCAGCCTGGCGGTACTCTCTGGCCGCCAAGTGATGCAAGGCCAGCAGCGGCTCCCTCTGCGCAGCAGACGCCAGCCAGGCCGAGAGGCGCGAGGGGTAGCGCGATCCTACAGAACGGATGAGCTGCGCCGAAGTTGGGCCGCCGTGCTCTGTCAGCCACGCGAATGTCGCTTCTGCTATGCCCTGTGGAGTACACAACCGAATCAATAAAACTGTTTTGTTATTTTGTAATTGATAGATTTATTGCTAAGTAATGTAATGTTTTAGTGAAATAATTATTATGATTAGAGATAGTATTATTTAGCAAAGACAGTTTTTAACCGACTTCAAAAAAAGGAGGAGGTTCTCAATTTGTCTCAATCTGAGGGGCACTGTCACTGCGCCCGTCACACGAGACATAAGTTGACAAGTCCTATCGCGAATCACGCGATAATCAATCATTTGGTGAGTAAACGAACTTGCCCATTTTTTGTAATGTGGTAACACTGCTTTGCCTTTGCTAACTTGTTATTTTTGACACACTACCGAGTGCACTTCAGTTTGGTTAAAACTAAAGATATGGCTGTGTAAGTGAATGTACCCTAAGAGACAAACAACTGATAAGTTCCTCTACGTACTGTTTAACATTACGACAGGCATAGACACGGTGGAAAGACACACAATTAAGTTAATTGTCTAGTTTAATATTGTTACGAAACATGTTCATGATGTAATGTTTTAGTGAAACAATTATTATGATTAGAGATAGTATTATTTAGCAAAGACAGTTTTTAACCGACTTCAAAAAAAGGAGGAGGTTCAACAACCTGATGCAAAGGTTAGCAAAATCTTTAGAATAAGTATAATTTGTATATCTGTGGAGGTATAAATAAATAAAATAAATTTAGTTAGTAGTTTTCAGGAGAAATGTGAACGAATTCCTCATTGGTGCATTTCGCACGTTATCTGGCAGCCGGTTGCAGACAGCCGGTGCCATTACATGCACTAATTTGGATGTCTACGCCAGCCACCTCGGTATAGCCCGCAGCCGGCCCTCATGTATATGTTATAATTTATATAGTTTTAAATTTGTAAAAGCAGCAGGCAAAAGTTCTTAACGCTCGTCTTTTTTAACGATTGATCCGTTTTCTCTCAGACATAAAATAAATTAAATCAATCGATATTTCAATTTGTTCTGAGGTAAAAAATTTTGACTTCTATAAATTAATTTTGATAGTTTTATGTTGGACCTCAAAACTTAGTTTTGAGCAAATGAGCATTAAAAATAAAATTTCGATACTTGTTTTTCAAAACTAAGTAAATATTGATTATATTTGTATACTAATATTATTAAATTATGATTTAATTTGATCTGAAAACGTGTTCGGAAACGCGAGCAAATTGGATTCTTATACTCGACGGCCGCTGCCGCGACACGCTCGCCTCCATCGCTCGGCTCGTACTGCTTTTTCATAATATATACTAACCTAGGTACTGAATGGAGGGCGCAGCCGCAACCAAGACTTATTAGGTCAATATCAAAAGATATACTGGTTATAAATGTCATCAATCGTTAAAAAAGACCAATAATAAAAAAAAGAGGATCAAATATTATTTTTGAATACCAAATATTTATTGTGTATGCTTAAACATAACGATAGTGTTACTTTGAATGCAGGTTATTTATAATTTATCCTATAATTATATATATCAAACATAAAAAGAAATACCGTTTATTTAAAAAGTGCACATTTACAATAGATTATATCTTTGTGGATCAAATACCATTATCCCATACTTTTTTATCCAAGACCTGAGAATGTCCAAAGCAATGTGTTATTTTTTTTAAATAGCAAGCTCACCTCACTGGCGTACTTGTCGATGTAATTATATAACTTGTCCATATCATTTTTCTTGACGCACATTTCGATAAGCAACTCAAAGTCCTTGAACTTCTCCGCTAGGGCAGCCGCGCGTTCAGTTTGACCTTCTTCAACTGTAACGTTATAATTTAGCATTATTAATGATTTTCAAGTTTTTATTCTATGTCACGGTGTATTACCACCATGATGTTCAATTATTTTTTTGTGAAATTACTCTACTAGTTTGTTATAATTATTAATAACAAAGATCGACCAATTAGAAAAATTCCTTCGATCCAGTCGGATTCGAACCGTCGTCTTCTAGCAAACCGTGCCAGATGCTGTGCCAACTAAACCACGGAACTTACAAGAGGACCTTAGGAAGTTTTCTATGTGCTTGTTGCAGATCTGTATTTTTGGTTTTTAACGATTTTTTTATGCTGTAGCGCCATCTGTGAGAAATTTATTTCGTCACTCAGAAAGGTATCTTTGCAGCTAGCTACCTAGAGATGTCGCTTTATTCATTGTTATTAATGATCTTTTAGAAACAAAACTGATCCAATGAAAATCGATTTCCGATAGTTACTGTGTACAATTTTTTTAACAAGTGATGTATGAAAAATGGCAGAAAAGGAACCGACTGTAGGGCTGGATGAGTTCGCGGCGCATGTTCTCGTAGACGTGCTGCGTGTGCGCGTTCTGCTGCAGGTGCTGCGCGTCGGCCAGCAGCAGGTCGGCCAGCGCCGCCGCCGCCTCCAGCAGCTGCGCGCGCAGCGGCGCCGACGGGCAGTTGCGCGCGCACTGCCTGCGACACAACAAGCGTCCTCGCTTTCACCGGGCACGGCCGATCGGGTGCACGGCTGGCCGGTATGCTTACGTGATAGCCCGCTTGTGCAGGTCCGCCAGGGCGGGCAGCAGGGCTCTGGGGCCGAGCTGCGGCGGCACGGTGTGCGTCTGCCATTGCGAACGGACCTTCTGCACTTCCGTTAACACGCTCTGCCGACAACATTTCCAACTTAGACGAGTATATCAATAGGCGAAATATCCCTGTGGACTTGTGTAAGTTACTATCAAATTTCATGCACGTTGATTAAAAAGATGACCAAATAATTTCTATCTAAAATTGTGCAATTTTAATGACGTCAAGGAAAGTATACTGCCACCAAATCTATTTCCGCTACCAAGCAGTAATGTGAGCATTACATTTTGAAGGTCTTATATTAGTAAGATGGAAGCAGGAACTTAGGGTGGCAGATTTTGTGATTCAAAGCTCTGAGGCACTGCAACACTAAAACATTAATAACTTGATTGAACAAAATTGGGCCAAGATGATCCCTCAGGTACACCTGATATTATTTTCCGTGAATTAGAATGATACCCATTAACCACTACAGAGAAACATCGATCTTCTAAATACGACCATCTATCTCAACAATGCAACGAAAATACCTGATAGCTTCTGAGGCAACCGATCAAAGGCCTTACTAAGGTCTGTACATACAACGTCAACTTGTTTGTAAGCATCCAATGCTTCCATTAAAATTTCAGAAAGGTCTACTAAATTAGTACATGTTGATTTAGAAGGAACAAAGCCACGTTGATTAGTGCTCAAAATTTGTTTAAAATGACGTTGTACCTAAGGATAGACAAGTGACTCCAAGATCTTACAAAGAGTTGACAAAATTGAGATGGGTCTATACACTTATGATGGATGGATGGATGGATGGGTATAGCTTACTATTAAATCGTCGCTACTTGAAATCGCTGTTATACTGGGAAAAACAATTATTTCACAAAATATCGACTTTGAAATAAATGCAATTGAAATTTTTATGACAATTTCTTATGCACACCATGTTAATTCCGTGTTAATTTTTAACAGACGATTCTACATTTCATGTTTTATCTAAATTTGAAAATGTTTGCATTTTATATAAGCAATTTTGTTGCGTTATCCAATATTAAGTTATTTTCTGTGAAAATTCCAGATAATTGGTTTTCGCAATACAACGAATAATGATTATTTTACTTGGCAAATAGAATCCTCAAGAAAGATAATGCTGAAGTATGTTTCAAACTAAAACAAGAATTACTCTATCTCCGGTAATAAAAAAAATCCACTAATTAAGTAACCAGTAATCGATACTCACCCATGGTGATCGTACACCCAGTGATCGACACATGCCAGTAAGAAGCGTGCTGTTATAATAGAAAATGCTGTCCTAAAAAGGTGTCGAAAAGTGAGGTACCGTGAGGATGCTGAGGGTGGCCGTGGCGTGGCCGGCGGCGGCGCGGGCGTCGGCGTGCGCGGCGGCGTGCTGCAGGCGGGCCAGCGCGCGCAGCACCCGCGCCACCTTCGACACGCGCCGGAAGCACACGTCGGCCGGCGACAGCGCGCCCGAGGACAGGGCCGCCTCCACCTCGGGCTCCTCCTCCACCTCGGGGGTCTCGCCGCACACCACCTGCTCGCCACCGGCCGGGTCAAACATGTTTTATTTATTTATTTATTTATTTATTTATTTATTTTATTTATTTATTTAGTTCACCAACACTATATACATTACAACATTCAAATATTTAACAATACAAAACAAAAGCTTAATGCTATAGCAATTATATGTGAAGACAACATGCAAGATAATAAGAGTGTTATTTTAACATTTACAGTAGTAAATTTTATTTAGTAGTAAATTTTAATTTGCAGTAGCAATTTTAATCAATCAAACAAATTAAATTGAAAAAATATAAATGTCGCTGATAAAGCTAATAAAAAAAAAATCGAATCTATAATAAAGTAATAAAAATATAAATCATAAAAATAATCGAATACAATATATTTTTTAAGATGTTCCCGGCAAGCCCCTCACATTATTCAAAGGAATGGTCGTAGATGACAGAGACGTGTTTATTGTTCGGTCTCCGGAACATAGGTGACAAATTATACAGTTAGACTATAAATACAATCTATCTACACTACAAGCCGAAGTAGGACGGTCTTATTGACCTGGATTAGGTGGTGAAATTACAGGCACATGGGACTTGTCAACTTATGTCTCAGGGTGCGGTGGCGGTGCCCCTCCGATCTTTGCGATTTAAAGCTGAGTGGCAATGTGGCAGTGCCAGGCACCAAAAAAACCTCCGTGGCCGAAAGGTTTACCAAGCTAGCCTGTCACGTAGAGGTCCCGGGTTCGATTGCGGGCACTCGCGAGTTCACGCGAGAAATAGTGTGTCAGTTGGAAAATTTAACATGGTTCAATATTGCATCAAAAAATATTTCAATTATCGTCTCGCCCACCCTCGTCAATCCAGACCACTGAGGATCGAATAAGAGAAAATTGAAATTTGGCATACCAATCGTCTCGTCTCACTTCGCTGGTGGAAAAGCACCTTAAGTTATACAGCTAACACGTGTTTCCTCTAAGGAGAAGGTTTATTTAGGTCGCAGTCCGCCACGCTTGTTGGGACTTTACACGTTTTTCGAGGGTTGTTAACCTTCGAAGTTCCATTACGATGTTTAATTTCACCGTTAGCGAAAGTTTTGTTACTATACATGTTGGAAATGGTAACTGATTTTTATCGCTACAGAGCTAATCACCGTTTGCCATTATTCTATTTATTTGAATCAGTGCACGAAATTAACGCGATCGGCCGTCTAACGTCAAGTGAGTGAACGTTAAGGCCGAACTACTGACTCTAGGAAAACAGTTCGTTGGCGATTGTCATTCATTCTCATACTCCTAAGCACTCTGAAAAAACACTACAATAAGCCAGCAGAGGGCGTTGTACGGTCGGTCGTTATTACACTTTTAAAGATCCCTGCCGTCTCTCGCTAGACGGTGCTCGCTGCATTAAAATAATAATTATTCCTCACGGGCACATACACACACCGCTGTATTTTCCCATAGGGGTAGGAAGAGCCCATAAACGCACGTAGAAGAATGATTAGACTTTATAGGTCATTTGCCTAAGAACCGTGGACCACCACAGCTGAAGCCAAATGTGAAGAGTGATGAAAAGTACAACCGGCGTGCTTCACCTGATAGATGGCGGCGTCGATGAGCTGCGCGTCGGCGCCCTGCTGCAGGCGGCGCAGCGTCAGCGCGATGGCGAGCTGCTCGGCGAGCGAGCTCAGCGCGCACTGCGTGCTCACGCAGCCGCCGCCGGACTCTGCCCACGAACGCGCGAGCGTTTGTTAATGTCACCTTACAATGGTCTAATTCTCACATAGTCGGCCTTTTAATTAAGAGTAATAAACCGTCGTTTAGTGCGTTGCTATTTGATCACATTAAAATAGTGTTATTTCAAACGATCAACTTCATTGACTCACTCGATAGATAAATTATACTTGAGAATATTATTATTTTTTTTTAAATTCATAACAGAAATGATGGAAATAAATCGTAGAAATTTCGGTTTGCAAATTAATCGTCAAAAATCATTATTTTTTTAACGATTCCGTTTCAGTCAGTTCATGATCAAGCCTGGACCAGAATGTTGTCTGGTTAGAAAAAAATTCAACAAAAACATGGTACAGATTTTTTTAAAATACATTTTTTGGGTTGTTACCAACTAGGCAACAACCTGGTCCCAGCTTATAGATGAATTTTGGGACACACTGTAGAGTTAATGAATAAATGACGATGATAAAGTTACTGAGCATTTAATTGTCATAATTAGGGCTTATCAATAAAACTGTGGCCTTTTATAATTGGACAAATCATCAACAGTAATTTCAGGGGGGCTACTCTCGATCTCCGTCCGACATCCGTCCGAAACAATTACTGTCAAATGAGTAATATTCGACAAAATTAAAAGACAAGTATCCTGTATGAAGCTTCATTCGCATCACGCGTAAGGAACTCACCCCTACTAACGAGGCCCAAGCGTTGCCACAGTCCCGTAGCCCTGAGGAAGTCGACGAAGAGCGAGAAGGCCCGTTGCTTATCTCTCAGCTGCGCTGCGATCTGCAGAGCCGCTGAGCTGCCCAGGGCTATATTCGTGTACGGACCGCTGGGACGCTGCTTCCATCTGGTGAATCAAATTTCAACTGATTTAAAGTCAAATAATCATTTCACAATCACAAGCTACTGTTCGTTCACTGTGCTGACTTCCTTGAGAAGCACGAGCAAGAAACTCTAGGGATTGCTCTTTTTAAAGAAACTTAAATGCTATGGAATACATTTTGAATCAAATTTGTGTGGATATGGAGCGAACTTAGTTGCAATTCTGTATCTCGCACGCCTTTCTTCCTGTATCTTCTTGAAATAGTAAAGATATATAATAATAACGCACACGGGTGCGATGGACAGACACATAGACAATCACAAATTACATCCAATCCACGAGAGAAATAAATATAGGTCATACAAGTATTTCTCCCGATCCGGAAATCGAACCTGGTACCTCTGCGTGGCAGACCAGCACGGTAACCGTTCGGCCACTGAGGCAGTTAGAGGCAGCAAGGCAGATTTAACTAAAAACGTTACCGTTCCTCTGGTATAGAGTTTCTTAACCTTTTTCTGGTCATGGGCCCCTCTCAAAATTTCTAAGAGCCTACGAACCCTTCCCGAATAGATGAAGAAGAAAAAACGCTCGCGGGTTGCATTGACGCGCGTCTCGCTCGCTCCAATAATGAATGGCCGTCAAAGGGCGCGAAAATTCAAAGTCACGCGAAAAGTGTGAATGTATTTTGTATGGTGGGCTTGCCACCAGTATTACAGGGACCCCTTAGGGGCCATGGGCCACACTGCCGTCCACTAATTAAAACGCGGCTATCTGACAAATGGTGATATTTGACCCGACACATAGCTGAAATATTAATAAACAATTTCAATATTCAAAACTGGGTTACGGTTTTCTTATGATAACTTAGGGATCCTAAGGGACGGAAAAAGAAGCCAAGGTAAACCAAAGAAAAGATGGAGAGACGTCTTCACAGAAATAATTAGATCGTATTGAATGGCTAAAGCGAGAAAAAGAGAAGAGTGGAGAGACCTAGGGGAGGCCTACGCCTTAAAGGCGACTGCTGCATTAAATTATTCGTTTGAGTTTTATTTTCGCTTATTTATTAAAAAAACAAATGTATGTTAAATGTAGTACAATAAAGGCTGTTTTAATTTTTTTATTTTATTTATTTTACGATAACTTAAAAAAATAATTAGTCACAGGTCAAGAAACACTGCTCTATAACTGTCCTAAATGATGCAGTACCTGGGGTCCCCGGCGGGCATGTCGTCCAGCAGGTCCGTGGCGATGCGCAGCACGGTGCGGTCCAGCGCCGCGTCCACGTCGCGCTCGTCGGGGGCGGGGCCGGACCCGGGGGCGGGCGCGGGGGGCGGGAACAGCTCCTCCACCAGGCTGCGGCACAGCAGCGCGTCGCGCCGCAGGTGGAACAGGAACGCCGTCTTCAGCTTGCCGCACGCGTCGAACGTCACCGTGCTCACCTGCCGACCGCTCTCTTTGTACCTCTTCAATACGACATTCATTGGGCGGGAACTTCAGTAACAGGACGCATAAAAGATTTCAAATAAAAAAAATAATATCAATTCAATAGAAATTTAATTACAATTAATTGCGACATCTCCAGCCAGGGTTGGTAGGTGTAAAGTTACCTAACTCGATGACGAAATACTTTCACAGATTTCTCATAGATGACGCTACGGCTAAAAAGTCTTTGAAAACCAAATACGAAGATCCGACAAGCAAGCACATAGAAAAATTCGTGAGGTCCGCTGGTTCGTTCCGTGGCTAAATTAAACGGTCCGAATCCGGCCGGATCGAAGGAATTTTTCTAAGTGTTCGATCTTTGTATTAATAATTATAACAAACTAGTGAAGTAATTTCATAAAAAAAAATAATTGAACATTAATTCAATACGTATTTAGATTATAACAACGATATGGAAAAGTTTCTGGAAGAAGGATCAATATATAAACGGCAAATCTTACAAAAAATGAATTGTATATATAAACTTTGCACCCTGATTTTACATCACATTTCCTCTCCCACACTGGCTTTTACCTATTCTTAAAGTAATGCATCCAAATTAGCACCCTTGACAAGAAATTTGAAATAAATAGAAAGTTTTGTCGTGTCCTGAATAATCACTCTTTATAAGATACGAGTTTGAGAAAGTAAGGCATCGAAATTGTATTGAAGCATACAAGAAGTACCTACTAAGCCGTGTTCAAAATTCAACGTCTTTTATTAGAAAGTGAACTAAGTGATTCAAGTGAAAGTGAAAACGTGACTCCCGCTGCTTAAAAAACTTTAAAAAACCCAAAGTTCTTTTTGCCATTCTACAAATACATTAAAAACACAAAAGAAAATATTTATTGAGGATCCCGAAAACTATGAGGACCTGGCTCAAAGGACTTGTATACAAGTCAAAAATCCTAATAAAAAACTTAGAAGTACGTGTTATTAATTTGTTGGCCTCAAATTAGCGAATTCCTTGTACCATAGTCAGAAAGAAACTCCAAGTGCATCACCAGAAAAAAACTACAACCAACTTAGAAAAATTCGCTTCCTAAATTGATCCGAGAATCTTACCCGAGACACCATATTAAGCTTCCATAGTGTTAACCGCTAGGACATTTACAATCGACGACCAAGTACATGTCGTCAGTCTTTTTTGTGAATTGAAATAATATACTTTACCTCATTCGGATCAATTTCGTATAGAGACAAGTTTCCATCGTACATGTCCGACGGACACGGAGATTCCATTGGACTATCACACATGGATCTACAAACGAAATAAACAATTATTAGAATTTTATTTAAAGAACATTTGACCACGTTCTCGGATCTAATGTAGGTTTGTTTTTTAAACAATTTTTTTCCGAAATACTGTACTTGTCTCGAAATTTATACATAATCAATCAATCGATTAGAAATTCCGAAACATATACCACCTATTCGCACCTTTTACTTCTTTCTTCTTAATACATACGAAAATGGAATAAAACACAGGATAGGCTGTGTTTCCCGAAAAGTACAATTTGAAGCTATTCAAGGCTAGAGTGAATTGGAATTTTCATCCAAAGTATGAAATTCAAAATTACATTGTCAAATGGTAGATATGAGTGTGCCGTTACAGGCTATATAATAGCAGTAGAACTAGTGACAGAACGTCCAGGAAAGTACTGTCTGCCACGGTACCTGTTTCTGCCGCCAAACAATAATGTGAGCTTTACTACGTCCCGGTTTCGCAAAGGTAAGGGTGCTGGTGAAACTAGAGGCTAATTAATAGATTCAGGCGTTACCTTGCGGAAGTCCATGTTAATAAAAATGGAAGTAAATTAATTTGCTACTCCGAGAACCCTGTGAGTCAGAGTCAACCCTCGCCGAGCGTCAAGCAGTCAACAGCCCCTGAGGATGCCTCGTGGAGAGGCGAAACACGTGTCGGGTATATTTTTGGTGGTGGTTTGTGACTGTATTTGCGCTTGTGTTATTTATTTTATTAATTTTATGCGGAGGGAGGGTGGGATAATTAACTGCATGAAAAAAATATTTAACACAAGCGCAGCTATTTTGCACGATTTAACCTTCACTGAGTACGTCGAGTAGCAAATTAATATAGTTCCATTTTTATTAAACAAGAGGCTATCTCAGGGCGAAAAGCGCTGTGGCAGTGCCCCTTAGGTGGCTGTTATTTAAAGCTCTAAGTTTTGGGTAGATTCTGCCTTATGGGTAGGCGTGTCCATTACCATCAGACGTACTATTTGTTCGTCCCGTCAAAGTAAACGTTAGCAATTGGCGGTTCGTTGATGTTTTACAACATGGCGTTGTAACTAATAGTAGTAGAGCTCCTTGTGAAAGAGTTCGTCTAAGGAAGTACTGCCACCAAGCAATAATGTGAGCATTACTGTGTTTCGGTTTCGAAGGGTAAGGGCGCTGGTGAAATTACAGGCACATGGGACTTGTCAACTTATGTATCAGGGTGACGGGCGCAATGGTAGTGCCTTCAGATCTTTTCGATTTAAAGCTCTGAGTGGCACTGCAAGTGGATAGGCGTGACGCTTACCACAAGGCGCACGACTTGTTCGTTTCGTCACAAAAACACATCCATTTTTGACAAATCGCAAATTAATTTTCATTTTATAAATCGATACCGCCCACGTAAGCTGTTATAAGTATAAGTCATAACACCATTTTTTGCATTTTAACTAAAATATATTCTTTTTTATGTATACCATTATAGGCTTCATGTTTGAATTTAAGCATAATTGGAAGGGATTTTTCCATCGATATACATAAAAAAGGATATATTTAAGTTACGAAGCAAAAAATGGTATTTTGACTTACAACAACTTAGTTGGAGGTATCGAAATATGTATATAAAACCACGTTTCACGAAGAGGATTGGCCTATTTATTCCTAGTCAAGGGCACGAAATGACTTCACCAAAAGTTCTAGAACCTAGTATTACTTACGGTGTTGGAGCCAGACTCTCTGCAGTGGTGAGGACCAAAACGCCGTGTTTCTTGCTGAATAACAGAGGAACACCGTTGCACAGCTCTGCGCCCAGGATCCTGTCGCCTTCAGACGCCACGTCTATGTAGTCCACTTTGTCGTTTGGCACTGTACCTGTACAAAGAAGTTAAGAAAGTAGCATATTTCTCTAGCTGTTTATTCATATATCTAGAAATACACTGTAAGGAACAGAATATGCTGAAAAGTAACCGTAGAAGCTCAAAAATAATTTGATGTATCGGACTCCTCAGACTAGGGAATTCAATGTTGAGTACCAGAGCAACAGCGTTCACTCTGGGGCACTTTCAGATTTTCAGTAGTATTACAGCAAAATTTTTATCAACCGCTAAACAAAGTCTATAAGGCAGCCATATAAGAAAATGACTAAAGGTAAATTTTAACCGCAAATTATTATTAAACAGCCATAGAGATCCCCACATGCCGATTTTCAGCTGAATTAGAGCAAGTCTATCTGCCGCCAAAAAGTTTGTATGGTAGCCATATTGACAAATGGCGAAAAATAAATTTTGACCGCAAATTATTATTAAACACCCGTAGAGACCCCCACATGCCGATTTTCAATCGAATTAGAGCAAATTTTCATCTGCCGCCAAAAAATACTTCTATGGCAGCCATATTGAAAAATGACGACAAACTAATGTTGATCACAAATTATTATCAAGCACTCCTAGAGACCCCACATTACAATTTTTGAAGGAATCAGAACAATTTTTTTTCTACTGCCAACAAACGCTTGCATGGCGGCCATATCTATCTATATATCTGGCGAAAAACCAATTTCGAGCACAAATTTTTGACCCTGTCACTTCCACATGACAATTTTCAGCTGAAACAGAGCACTCGCTCTTTCGGCAGCCAATTTTAACGAAAAAAAACTCTTATATGGCATTCATATTGAAAAATGGCGAAAAAAAACATTTGACCCCAAATTATGATTAAGGACTCCTAAAGCCCCCGCATGCCAATTTTCAGCCGCATCGAAGCAAGTTTTTTCCTTCCAGCACCTCCTACCTATCTCTAATAGTTTCCGTGATAGAAGGCTTTGAAATTTGTATGGCGGCCATTTTGTTTATTTGAATTTGGAACATTTTTTATTTTCAGCAGAAATTGACCAAGTTGTATCTCATAAAAGTGCACAAATATGCCCCCATGTATAGTATTTGCAGGCCGTTGATCACTCGTTTACATTTTCCACAATCAGGTCTTCTCATATTCGATTCTTTGTCTTGGAGCCTATCCGCGTACAACGGAATAAATATCTTTTTTCCACCATATCGGGAAGTATGCGTTCTATTTTTCTAAGCGAGTCAGGATTTGTAGCTTTATATATACGAGTATAACGTACCATAAGCGTACTTTATGCTGAGTAGCAAATTCTTCCAGGCAATCAGGGTAGAGAATTGGTAGATGTAATAAGGTGGTAAAGCCAAAGAACATCTAATAGTTCTAATAAAGTTTTTGAGGATAAACTGGTTATGAAAGTTATTGCGTGTCAAGTAAGGTTTTGAGTGTTTTTGTAGTGTTTGCAAATATGCTTTCTTTTAGTCTTCAATTATATTCTATTTCTTTGATTGTTTAAAGCTTTGTAGGTATAAGGCGAGACCTTACGCCGATAATTACTGGTTGAAACTGCTACTCGCACTTAGCAGGTTTTTTGTCCTGAAATTGTACTTACTGGAAACCTCAGTGATGTATTTGCTGTTGTAGAGCAACGCTCGCGGTCCAAGAGGCAAGAACTTCGGTGGTTCGTCCACATCTTCGCGCGTCCAGCTGCGGAGGGGGACAAGTGACGTCACGCGGGGATTCGCCGCGTCTTCTACGCAGATGTGCGCTGGAAAAATGCATTCATGATTAACTCTTCCACCGTTGCAAATGTCCATGGACGACGGTTACAATTTCCTATTAAGTAGCTCGTCTGCCTCCTACTTTTCATCAAAACCAATTTTAAAAACCGGCTATAGCATAGTCTAGAATAATAGTAATGTGCTAGGGATGCACATTACGATTCCATTTTTATGAAGATCGATTCAAGTGTATACGAACTGGCGATTTTTTGTATCGATTCATTAGCGATTTTTAAGTAAATCGTTAATACTAAGGCGAATCGTCTAGGTCGTATTCGTAATTTAAACAAATCAGTCTCTTTATTTTAACTGCCTCCGTGGCCGAACGGTTACCATGCCGGACTGCCACGCAGAGGTCCCAGGTTCGATTCCCGGGCCGGGAGAAATGTTTGTATGGCTTACATTTATTTCTCTCGTGAGTTTGGGTGTAATTTGTGGTTGTCTATGTGTGTGTCCATGGCACCCGCGACACAGGGTTTCCCTAGTGCGGGGCTATGTTGAGTGTGTGCGTTATTTATTTATTTATTTATTTCTGGACCACTATTTTGTATTGGACTGCAAGAAAATCAATTTTGCAATATCTAAGTACAATACAATATTTGGCGATTGTCGCTACTTCTGTGCCATCTGAACGTCTTTTCTCACTGACTAGTATCACTCTAAATGAAAGCCGTAATAAAACTGAAGGCAAAAAGGCTGAAAAAAAATTTTTTTTTTCGGAAATACTTTTCAAACGATTTATATGAGAGCATACGATGATCCGATGATCAAAAGCAAAAAATCGTGCATCCCCACAGCCGCTCACGCGATGCGCTCCTCCTACCGCAAAATGGCGGCTATTTGGTTTCGCAAAATAGAAAAGGATTCAGTTTAAATACAAGGTTTTATAAATAAAAATTATTATTCTGCATTGCTCAATAAATACCCTCCGTACTACCAATAAAAACATCTCAATTAAAATGCAGTAATACACCGCAAATCCTGCACTTAAAAAGCACTAATAAAATTTTTGGTGTACTTGGATAAATATGATAATATTCCGTTTGAGTGGTTCTAACGTTTACCATGAAATTAGTCCTAAGTATAGTTTATAGACATTTATATTCAGGGTAAACTTAAAAAACGCTACTTACGGTATGTTTTCAATAAATAAACACCGAAATCACCAGCCCAAACAATAACACACACGATTGTCGTGAAGTATTTTTGAAGTTGTTTATTTTTTTTTTAATGACAGACCCAGGCATTAAAAACTTTATGGTTTGCTAGAGTAGTTACCGAAATAGCAATTAATATTAGTTCTTTTACCTGTTATAACTTCGATATCCGATAAATCGGTATAAAATCATCACCGGCACCTCTAGGTGTGGTATAGGCGTCTACCGCTGCATGTATCGCGTGAGCGGATAATGTACCAAACTACAATACCAAAGTCTCTAATTACGAAATTTCCTGTCCTAGTACCTGAACAACAGAATTCTTTCCGGGGCACTACTCGGAACACTTAGCCCAGAACAATTTAGCAAAGTTTATTTCCTAAATTGGTACTACCAAGAACAGAATTATGTGATGAGTGGGAGCTTCAAAACGGGATTCCACGAACCGGCATCGGTGGGAGAGCGTGCATACACCGGTTTTTTGTGGGTAGGTCTCCGAGGATCTGTCGGACGAGACTCTATGGCCGGGTGGGTCCACAGAGGAGAGTCCCACATAATGTAGCCATGTCATTGCCCGTGGTGGGGTGTGCGTAAAGCATTGTCCTGAATATATTAAAAAAAGTCATCATAAAGACCTCTAACTGTAGTGTAGGTAGGTGGAATATAATTGTAACGGACTATATCAATGCGTTAAAGGGTGGGTGCTAACAACGAGTGAGCAAGGTCAACGCAAATGTACTTACAGCTTATTAATTTATTAGAAAACACGTATAGCTTTCAAAGCAAAACAGTAAACAAGTCACAAATCACATTTAAATTTAGAATTTAAATATAAAACTGATAACTTAAAGAGACTATAAAATATATACAAGAGAGATTTGTAGCGATTCGCTACAATAATTATTATTGTATATAATTATTTCTGTAAATGAGTGTGGCTGGAGATTTGGAGAACCAGTCAATTATAAACAATTGAACTGCTACTGCGTGTCCTCACTATTACCTGTCTTAAGAAATACCTCAGTGGCGACGAGGATGGGAACCGAACCTACGCTTGGTAAGCACACGACAATTTAACGCAAAAAAGGTCTACCGAGGATATCAAATGCAGTAAAAGAATTGGCAGTGGACACATCGCCTAACTTTCATTGTATTAATTGTTAATACAGGACAGTCGCACATCTATCTACATAAGTTTTGTTTATAGTGCCCCTGCCTATCAACCTCTTCGTTATGCGGGAAGGGCACCATGACCTGTGCGAGCAAGCCTGTGCAGAGATCATCTAAGTCAGGTCCTAACCCCAGATCAGCCGGTTTGCTCGATTTTCATCTGGTTTATTATAAGGTTAGAGTAGAGGCTCCCTATTTTCCAGATAGGTACCGGAACTGTAGGCACGCTCACTTTCCGTAGCGCATTGCGCAACTAACAGTTGCCACCGCTAAGCCGTTGGCTCTTAAGTCCACTATCAAATCTCGTCACCAAATACTCTAAAATCCACTACCAAAATCTGGTCTTCGGTGATGAGATTTGGTAGTGGACTTTATAGTCAACGCAGAATGTCTAGCTCATCCTCTACTAGCGCTCCGGGCTAGTGCCGGAGATGCCATAGCGTGACCTGTGACAATGTCCAGACATAGCTTCCAACTTAGAGGGCAAATCACGTGGCCCGCACGTCTCCTCGCTGCAGGCCTTCAAGTAAACCGCTAATAAGACGCGCTAGCTGCGCTACCACAAACCCCAACGAGTTCGTACCCAAGTTCAGGTCCACCAGAGACGCCCGTGAGAGCCTTATCACTGGCGTAGGACTTAGCCCGAACGCCCGTTGTACCCTGGTTTTGCCGGAGAGGCCGTAGTCTTTCCGGAATACTCTATCTCTCTGGTCCGCAGATAGTGACACATAAGATAGTTTTTTCTTACCGATAGCGTACTTCATCTCGGGCGAGCGGGCGACGTTGACTGCAGCTATCAGCAGGAGTAAACCGAAGCTGCCGCTGGCCTTCATGTCTAGGGCCACTATTTCCACGCTGTTCAGGTCACCTGTG